ATTACCACTTTTAAGGAGCTTATATTCTGTTGGGGAGGGGGTACAAAACGTGCCTATATGAAGGATATGAATAATAAATGTAAAAGGCAAAGTAGTTAAGGAGGTAATTCAGAGTTGAAGAGATCAGGAAAAGGCTTTAGAAGTGATGGTCTTACAGGGCAGCCAGGTGGTAGAGCACTGGTCCTACAATCAGCAGGACCTGAGTTCACATTGGGCCTAAGACACTTACTAGCTGTATGACCCTGGGCAAATCACTTAACCCCTATAGCCTAAAAAAAAAAAGTGGTAGACTCTGTTGAGTGGATGTTGGGAGGGCATGCATTTCAGTCATGGATGATAGTTAATGCAAAGGTATGGAAAAGATAGAGCAAGTAACAAGAAAGGCCAATTTGGGTGGACCGTAGAGTTCAAGAAGGAAAGTAATGTATGACGAGGCTAGAAAGACAGGTTGGAACCAGAGTGTGAAGAGCTTTGAAAGCTAAGCAGAGGACTTTATGCTTTATCCTAGAGGCAATAGGGAGTAGGGGAGTGACGTGGGCAGATAACTTAAGGAAAATTGCTTTAGAAATTGTGTGAGGGATGGATTAGAGTAAGGGGTGGCACCAAATATCGAGACCATTGCACTAGTCAAATGGGAGCTGATGAGGACCCAAACTAGGGTGTGAGTGGCTCTGTAAATAGAGAGGAGGGAGGCATATGTGAAAAATGTTGTAAAGATAGAAAGTGTAAGATTTGGCAGCTGATGGGATTATGTAGAGTGATTGAAGAGTTGAGGGTGATATTGAGGTTCTGAACTTGAATGATTGGAAGAATTGTCACATCCTTGAAAGTAGTAGGGGATTTTTTTGAGGGGAGGCAGGGATGGGCAGAACCATGGCAGGTCTTCTGGCAGCAGAGAAGAAATGGGTTGATAATAAAAAACTAAAGATTAGAGAGAGTATAATAGTGGGGTCACTGTGCTGGAGATGACTACAAATCATGGAACCAAGGACAAACTCAGTGAATGGCCTCCTTTGTCAATTAAAGATGAGGAGAGGACCTCACCTTGAGAGAGTGCTGGGAAGAAGTATTATGGGAGGTTTGGGAATATACAGTAGTAAGCAGCAATGGTGTAGTAAAAAAGAGCCTGGATTTGGAATTAGAAGACTTGCGTTCAAATACTCTTTCTTTCTTAGTCTTTTTTTTTTTAGTTTCCTTATTTAAAGAATAAAGTTATTAGAACAGATAACCTCTAAGGTATGCGCACAAAAAGTTTGCAAAAGCTTTGGGGTGGAGTGAGACAGGTAACATTTCTGGGAACCTTTCCTTTATGATTTCCTGAAACATGAATGAATGAAATAGCTTAAGTGCTTCCTGTGTGCCATGGGCTGGGAGTACAAATAGGAATAGTTTGGTAGTCCTGGGGCTCATGCTGTAATTAGAGGGACAACATGAATTCAGCTGCAAGGCGGGTGGTCAGGCCTAGGGGCCATGATGGTGCATCAGCAGGTCAAATGGCTGTGTAGGGAGATTAGAAAGTATGACAGCAGGATAGATAATAAGACTTCACGATTCTGTCACATCAGAAAGTTTGTAAGTGGTGACTCCTACCTTGGCCAGACAGTGTAAGCTCCATTTTGCTTTTCCTTCTTGGGAAGCTGTGGGCTTGAGGGAGGGGTGAAGGTAAGGCAGGGGCAAAAGGCTTTCATCCCAGATTGTCTTGTACTTGTGTTATTTGTTGCATTCTCCCAGTGGAATATAGGGATGCAGTTAGAGAGGAAAGAGCACTGTGCCCTGTGGAATCAGATGACCTGGGTTCAAATCCCACTCCAGACACTTACTGTCTTTGTGACCACAGGCCTCAGATTCCTCATCAATAAAATAAGTGAGGTAGCTGTGTTGCCTTCCAACTCTGGATCCAGGGTCTAGTGATTCCCATGAAGTCAGTGATTATTTCATTTTCGTCTTGATGAAATTTGTGATCAAGGAGATTTCTGCTAGGAAGAAAATGGACTGGTCACGTGTCAGGTCCAAGGAATGACAAGTGAACTGCCAGAGTACTCCATTGGTTACCTTTGTGATGTCAAGAGAAAGTGAGACAGGCTCCTATCACATTTGTTGGATGCCCCCTGGCAAATTTGTGGGAGGACATGGCTGAGTCACGTGGCATGGGCAGGTATGGATGGGTTGTGAACTACATTGTTGGAGGCATCTTCTAAATGGACGATGTTATGGTTATCTGACAATACTTGGGGCCTAGCTGATGTAACACATTATGCATAGTATATATTTAAGCATTTGTTGAGTTGAATTAAGTTCTTGCTTTTCACAAAGCCCAATGATTAGCCTAGCATCTTCCCTAATGTTTACTCTCCTAGCCTGCCTTCTCTCCAGACTTGACTGACTACCCTTATTGGCAAGTTGCTTAACCTAACTGGGCCTCGGTTTCCTTATTTGTAATGGGGCAGATCAGTGGCACAGTGGATGGAGAGCAGGGATGGGAGATGGGAAGATACATTTTCTTGAGTTCAAATCTGGCCTCTTAGCTTTCTGACCCTGGGCAAGTCACTTAACCCAGTTTGCCTCAGTCTCTTCATCTGTAAAATGAGCTGGAGAAGGAAATGGCAAACAGCTCAGGGATATTTGCCAAGAAAACCCTAAATGGAGTCACAAAGAGTTGGATACAACTGAAAAACAACAAATTCCTCATCTGTAGAATGAGGGAGTTGAATTTATAAGCTTCTGAGTCTCTTCTAACTCTAGGTCACAAATTCTTAAATTGACATGTCCTTAAGATTGATTGCTTTAGTGTACAAAGATTCTTAATCTTTTTCTAACTATACAATATTCTGGGCATATTTTTCTGTTTCCTCTTACATTTTCTACATCCTTTGCTTTCCAGTATCATAGTTCTGCTTGCCAATTGCCATTGAATCCATTGTCTTATATTTTCCATTAACATTCTTAACCTATTTTGTTTTGTTGTTGTATTGACCTAGGTTTTCTTATTAGTTGCTTTATTTTGTTTTATAATTTGGGCTTATTTTATTTCCTTTAGAAATTTTGTCTATTTTGTTATATCTTGATAAAACGAGTTTCGTTTCTGGTGCTTCTGTTGGTGCTGTGTCTATATTTTTCTTCTGGCAGATTTTCTCTGCTTTTTTAATAATCTATACTATTTCTTTGTAAAAGAAGATTCTGACTTGTTTTTTCTTTCTTCTTAAAGCCAGTTTTTCTTTTCAGGGTTTCTGGTAGTTTGGTACTGTGGTCGTGGTCATTGGCTTGCTTCTTTTTGGGTTATTACTCCCATTAGAATGTAAGCTGATTTTGAGACAGGATTTTTTTTTTTACTTGTATCTTCAGCGCCTTAGCGCAGTGCCTGGCACGTGGTAGCTACTTAACAAATATTTCTTGATTGATTCCTGTTCTTCTTTCCCTCTATTTGTGAGATGTATTCCTTACAGGATCTGGGGCTTTGGGGATCATGGCAATAATATCAACGTTTGACTAGCAGGGTCATACTTTCATGCAATTATGGTTGAAGAAATCTTGAAAGAGTTATTGATAAATTCCCACTTTCTCCCTCCCTTCCTTCCTGAAAAGTAGCATTTCACCAAAAGATTATAACTCAATTCCTTAACTATTATTGAATAAATGCTTGTTTTAAATGAAAGTATGTATGTGTGCTTACACATGCTTAAGTGTCTGGAAAGGGAAGGCATGAAAATTGAATGAGGTAGTTCTGGTTAACTTGTGAAATTTATTAAGACCAATTAATTTTGAATCCACAGTAATTTTTCTTTTAACATTGTGGAAAATGTATGTGGTTGTGGGGGGAGAGGGAAGGAAGATAAAAATAATTATTTTAAACTGGATGTTTTAAAAATAATATTTTTTTTAACTAGAACAAACAAATCCATATATTTAAGCTATTTAAATATGGCTTAAATTAGTTCAAAGACAACATTAGTAGATAGTCATAATAACCTTTTATGATATTCTGACGTATTATAGCTAGGGAGGGAACTGGCCTAGGAGTCAGGAAGGCCTAGGTTTAAGTCCTGCCTCTAACATATCCTGTCAGTATAACCTTGGGTAAGTCACTTACCTGCTCAGTACCTCAGGCAGTTCTAAGAACAGAAATTGCAGAACAAGTGTTATCTACCTTTTGTTAGAAGTTTTCTCACTGAGTATCCTTTACCATTGAAATCGCAGATCCAGTGATTTCCTCTCCCAATGTATAGAGTAAGAAGAAAGTCAAGCTGTCTTTTAAAAAAGACAATATCAGTTAAAAAAAATAAACCTTTTGTCTTTTCCACATAGTGTATTATTTAGTCCTTTTTTTCTGCATAAGTAATAACTATTGTAACTTGATCTGCTGAAATGCAAAAATATTTTTTTGTTTGTTTGTATTTTTTCTTAGTACTCTCCTAGTTTTTATAGTAAAGTTGGACGACATCTAGGAGTGGAAATAGAGTGACTTTTTCATTTGTGTAAGGCAAAATGAAATTTTAGGGGCCCAGCAAAAAATGCCTATTTGGAGTTTTGTTGCCATGAGTGAGTGGGTCTTGGCAGTATACTATCACCCACCTTAAATTTAGTGATTCTTTTGTTTTGTTTTTGACTAATTTCTCTGAAGCGTTCTGGAGGTTTGCTATATATCTTTATTCCTTTAGCCGATCTTGTATAAGACTGTTTCATGGTGTATGATTCTTAACTGTTGGTAGATTAGTGTTAACTGTAAGCTGAATCTGTGTTCCCTACCAAACTACCTGCCCCACATTTTGTTTTTTTCAAAATGAAAAGTATTCTGTGTCACGTATGAGATGGTAGTTTATTCCTGACTAACGTGTCTTGTTGACTAGAATTTTTGTGTGATTCTCTAGTTATATTTTGAAAAGTTTTTTTTGAGTCCATCTTCTTGCTCCATTTGTTTGCCAGACTTAAAAAAAAATTTCCTCGTGGTTTGGTGAAATCCTTCTCTAATTCAATCTTTGTCTTTTGTCTTTGCTGCCTTGCAGGGTTGGTACAGTAGGCCTCACTAGACTTAGCTGCAACTCAGAATTTCTCCTTCAACAACTGAGTAAATGCTGATGGTCTTTGTGGAATGTGGATTAAAAGTTCGGGCTAAGTTCTCAAAATTCCAATTAAGAAGCGGAGAAAAAATTTTAAAAACTGTCTCCTTCAAAGTTTGTCACAACCAACACCATCAAGACAGCAAATCAAAGGACAAAGACTTTGACCTGCTAAATTACTATATTTAGTCCAGTCCACGTATGGTATAAAGACTTGGCTGGGGGGACCAAAAAGTAAAGTTGAACACATCTGTCATTGGAAGCTGTTGACTTAACAAAGTGACCAAAATGAGGGCCGTGCTGGAGACAGCAGACATTGCCATTGTGGCCCTATACTTTGTGCTGGTCATGTGCATTGGTTTTTTTGCCATGTGGAAATCCAATAGAAGCACCGTGAGTGGATACTTCCTGGCAGGGCGCTCTATGACCTGGGTAGCTATTGGTGCCTCTTTATTTGTGAGCAATATTGGGAGTGAACACTTCATTGGGCTGGCAGGATCCGGAGCTGCAAGTGGATTTGCTGTAGGTGCATGGGAATTCAACGCCTTAATGCTTTTGCAACTTCTGGGATGGGTATTCATACCAGTCTACATCCGGTCAGGGGTGTACACCATGCCTGAATATTTATCCAAGCGTTTTGGTGGCCATAGGATTCAGGTCTATTTTGCAGCCTTGTCTTTACTTCTATATATTTTCACCAAGCTTTCGGTTGATCTGTATTCAGGTGCCCTCTTTATCCAGGAGTCTTTGGGTTGGAACCTTTACTTATCTGTGATCCTGCTGATTGGAATGACTGCTTTGCTGACTGTAACTGGAGGCCTTGTTGCTGTCATCTATACAGATACACTTCAAGCTTTGCTCATGATCGTTGGGGCACTTACACTTATGGTTATCAGCATGATGGAGGTTGGTGGGTTTGAGGAAGTTAAGAAAAGGTACATGTTGGCGACGCCTAATGTGACCTCAATCTTGTTGACTTACAACCTTTCCAACATGAATTCTTGTAATGTCCATCCAAAACCAGATTCCCTGAAAATGTTGCGTGAGCCAACAGATGAAGATGTTCCTTGGCCTGGATTCATTCTTGGGCAGACCCCAGCATCGGTGTGGTATTGGTGTGCCGACCAGGTTATTGTGCAAAGGGTCTTAGCTGCCAAAAATATCGCACATGCCAAAGGCTCCACTCTGATGGCTGGCTTCTTAAAGCTTCTGCCTATGTTTATTATAGTGGTCCCAGGGATGATTTCAAGGATATTATTTGCAGATGATATTGCTTGCATCAACCCAGAGCATTGTATGCAAGTCTGTGGCAGCCGAGCTGGATGCTCCAACATTGCTTATCCACGCCTAGTGATGAAACTGGTACCTGTGGGCCTGCGGGGGCTGATGATGGCTGTAATGATTGCAGCACTGATGAGTGATCTCGACTCAATATTTAACAGTGCCAGTACCATATTCACCCTTGATGTGTACAAGCTCATTCGCAAAACAGCAAGCTCCAGAGAGCTAATGATTGTGGGGAGAGTTTTTGTGGCCTTCATGGTAGTGATCAGCATTGCTTGGGTGCCAATCATTGTGGAGATGCAAGGGGGCCAGATGTATCTTTATATTCAAGAAGTGGCTGATTATCTGACACCCCCAGTGGCAGCTCTTTTCCTTCTGGCCATTTTCTGGAAGCGTTGCAATGAACAGGGGGCATTTTACGGTGGAATGGCTGGCTTTGTTCTAGGAGCTCTTCGCTTGATCCTGGCATTTACCTACCGTGCCCCAGAGTGTGACCAACCTGATGAGAGGCCAGCCTTCATAAAGAATATCCATTATATGTATGTGGCTACAGCTTTGTTTTGGGTCACAGGACTCATTACTGTGATTGTCAGCCTTCTCACACCACCTCCTACCAAGGAACAGATCCATACTACCACTTTCTGGTCTGTAAAAGTCCCAGACAAGAAAGAGAGCATTCCACGAGAGGACCCATACAAAATGCAGGAGAAGAGCATCCTGAAAAGCAGTGAGAACCCTGAGGGTACCAACCACATTGTTCCTAATGGAAAGTCTGAAGAGAACCTTAAGACTGTGCAACCGGAGGATATCAACCTTTGATGCCATGCAGAGAAGAGAGCAACCCAGTGTCTTCTCTAAGTCATTCTGAGGCCGAGACACCAGTAGACTGTTACTCCAATGGGCAGGCAGCTCTCATGGGTGAGAGGGAGCAAGAGAAGGAGATTGAGGGTAGACACCAGTACTGGAAATTCATAGACTGGTTCTGTGGTTTTAAAAGTAAGAGCCTAAACAAAAGAAGCCTCAGAGATGTGATGGAGGAGGAGGCTCTTTGTTTGCAAATGTTGGAAGAGACTCCCAAAGTTAAGTTAACACTAAACATTGGACTCTTCGCTGTCTGTTCACTTGGAATCTTCATGTTTGTTTATTTTTCTCTGTGAACTTTTAAGGGGATGGTGAGACGCTAGTTTGTGAGGATACTTTCTTTGGGAAAAAAAATTATCTGTAACTGTTGCATCTCTCAGGCATTGTTTGTTCTGAGGTTTTAGCCAAATTTTACTTAGCAAAAAAAATCATCTATTTGGAAGACTTTTTAATCTACCCAGAGTTGAACAAAAATAATACTCTTCAGTTTAAATGAAGCAAAACTTTTTTTTAGCCTCCTCAGTTGTACAAATGAAATTAAATTTTTCCTTCAATACCAAAGTAAAGAAAATGGTTTTATCTTAATGTTATACTATGAGAGAACCTAGACCAGCTACCAGTGGGACCTTTAAAGCAGAATAAATTTATTTTACAGTACTTTGAACAGATGTATAGTATACGCTGCCAAGTCTGGGTAGGATTTTTCACACCTCAGAGGACAAGATGCATTCAAATGTAATTCTCTTGCATCTTCTTACCTGTTTCCCCCACCCCCATTCAATTTTTCTAAAAAAAAAAAAGATTCTTATTGCACAATCAAGTTTTGCTATAAAACTATTTATTGGAGTTCTATGGTAAGTCCATCAGAATAAGTTAGCCAGTTTTATTGCCAGAATTTGTAAGCCAAGAGTCTTTGTGAAAAGAAAGGAAAACTTTTCCTATAGGTGTTCTTGTATCAGCTGCTATAACAGGATTTTGAGAATAACTTCATGTTCTAGTTTCTTTTCTTTATTTTCCTCTTTCATTCCATACAAAAAATGGGCACTTGCAAATTGTCACCATGCCTTTCCCGTAAGGGAAAATGGGTGAGAGAACGTGAATGATACGGTTTGAGCACTATTACTGAGACAACTCAGAACCTAAGTCTTGTTGACAAGTTGGTTGACTTTCATCTCTGAAGAGGATGGAAAACATTTCTGTGATGGCATGCTTTGAGGAGAGCCCTCTTCTTGTATTGGAGATGCTCCCCTTGGAGGAGCTGGCTTGACATGGCCTGGCTTCTGTCTAGCTTCGATAACTGAGATGAGAGTTCCATGTCCTATGCCCATTAGTAGGGAAGTCACAAGCTGGCTACCTTGGTTGAGGGTGGCATAAAAGCACACAGAGCAAATTCATAATTACTCTCTCTTACTGAATCCTGTATAGCTATATAGGTCTTCAGTCACCACATCTTTAGAAAAAAAAAAAAGTGGAACACTTCTACTCCCTTTAGATTTTTATCAAAACCATATAACTTAAATGTTACCAACTTCTTAAAACTTCTGGCTTTCAGTCAACCATGAACCGTTAACTTAAAAGATTTTTGTCTCTAGACTAATCTTACTATGTTGGACTACTACTAATTGATCCAACCATGATTAATTTTAAAATTTATCTGATAGCAAAATGTCTTCCCATCCCCACAGGGACTTTGTAGAGGATGTCTGTGGTTTATAATAATTCCTTGTATTAATAGCATGTCTTTATGGAGTGCCTTGTGAACATTATTGAATTCATTCTACATGTTTATACTCTTGGGATAAATAAGAAGGGGTCAGCCTTATTTATCCAAGATACCAAGTTGGCCAGGTCTCCAACTTGTGTTTTGCCCATTAAGATATACTTTTCTAAAGACGAAATTCTCTGTGTCTGTTGAAAGGTATGATTAAAAAGTTAGGAGTTTTTTGATAACTTTTAAGAAATGTTGTAATGTAAAGATTTGTCCTAATTTAATTTTCTTTGGTAGCTTATCGTATTGTAGTGTGAATTATCTGTATGCTGACTTGCATGATATTGGTGTCATTTTACCCCACTGATTTAGAAGCAATTGTTTTTTAACATATTTTAATTTTTTTTTCTGAAGAATGAAATTTAGAACCATTGGTTCTCATCTCCCTCTAGTTGTCTTAATTGGTTATTATACAAATAATAGCATCTGTGTGTGTATACATACATATATAAATATATCTATATCTATATATCTATATATATATATATATGCATATATATATATATCTTAAACCTGGGCTAATGGTTATGAGTCAGGAAAGCTGTCAAATTTGTGGTCAACTAAAACTATCTGTTACTTTAAATTGAAAACCCTGATTATTGCCAAGACTATTTTTCAGCCAGAAATAATAACCTTCAGTATCATAAGTTATTTATGACTTGCAGACAAAAATTTCTTAACATATTCTATAGGATTACTTGGAAAGAGGCGTGGACTATTTTTAGTAAAATACTTCTAATGATACAGCCAAATAGGCATCTCTTTATAGACATCAGTGTGCACATTGTTGTTTGTTATTTTAGGTTAAGGTTCATATTTGGTTTATAGTAACAGGAATCAAAGCTACTAAGAATCAAAGTGAGGGAAATGAATGGATTTGTTCTGCAAAGATGAAAAGAATTCTATTAGCTGTCCCATGGTCCGAGTTATTTTGATGTTTTTAGGTAATTATCTTCATACTCCCAAATGGGCAGGGTTAATAACTCTCTACCCTGGAGTGACTACCTCAGCCCTTCCCCCCCCTTCCCCCCCAAGGCAACTCATCAGTCTCCTACTTTAGATAGGAGAAATTCGGGTTCTGAAGGACTCTTTAGAGTTGGCAATGCTGACAGTTTTTTGTATCCTTTAGCCATTCATTTTGTAGCCAAAACCCCTTTTGCATTTGGCTGCCATGATACATTCTCTCTGTTGCAAAGAGTCTGTGGTTTCTCAATGAAAGGGGTTGTTGCAACAGTCTGTCAAGGTGACCCATGGTTGCAGCTCCTAGGGATGGTCCCATGTTTTTCATAGAGCACTCTTAGAATGTAACTTTTTAGAACTGGAATGGATGTTCGAGATGGTCTAGCTTACGTTTCTACTTGCTTCTTTATTCTTCAGTTGAGATAGTTGAGGCTGGGAGAGATTTAATGATGTGTCCTTACAAGCTAGAGCCATTCCAATGAGTTTTCTTTTCTGTTATGCCACACTACTTTTAACTATTTTACAAAGAATCAACTGCTATTTGCAGCTCAGTTTTTCTACCATTGTCTCTGTGGTCCAGCTGTGTTCATGACTACTTACAGAAAAGCATGGTCTTTTCCATTTTGGGGTATATTGGCAGCTTTTACAATTTTTTCCTCTTCCCTACTAGCTATACCAAGGCTAGTTCACCTCTAAAACCTTGCCTCTGTACCTGATTATCAGGTGCAGAAGGATAGGAAAACTGAAGGTAGTTACCATAAGGTATAAGGCTTAAGGTATAGGACCACATTCCCTTTCATAGGACACACCCAAGAGCAAAAATACTTTCTAGTACCTCAGAGATAACTAAAGCTCATAAATTCTTCTAGCCATTCATTTAGAAAAATGAACTAGGCAAATAACTGGGGATTCTGAGTTTTACTTGGATAATATTAAACATGAGCAAGGCAGTAAATTTAAATGATATAAATGGAAATGATGACTTCCCAAACACAGATTGGAAAAAAAGTGAATGTGGTAGATGTTGACGTTTAATCATATTAAGGAAGCCTGGTTTGACCTTAAATTTTTTGTGATGGACAGACTGTTAACCTTTATAATTGAAGTGATAACAGTGGTTGATCTTTATTGGTCATAATTTAGTAATGACAGTGTTTCAATTTTTATTTCCAAGGATATTAACATTTCATTTGGCATGATGTCTGGTTAATACTGAGATTATCCAGAATGCATTTTAGGCATAATATTGTCTACAGAGATGTGACTCCTCTCCTTTCTTTTTCTGACTTCATTTTCCTTCTATCTCCTACTTTTCCTGTTTTCCTTTTCACATTTTAATCGGTCAATGTTTTGTTAGCGTGAAGTAATTTCAGACTTCTGGTCATTGTATGAGAGTCCTGCTTTACTGTGGTATTGCAGATTATAATCCCAAAGAAGACTCACTAAGTTTAGTTATATAAAATAGTCAAGAATAATATATTAAACTTATTTCATTTTAAAATTTAATGCTTGCTGCTTTTCATTGGGAAAATCAGAGCTTTTTCCCCCAGCTTCATTCAATATTCTTAGCAAATAATGTGCACTCTAGCTTAACCACCAGTATTACTTAATTCCCTGATGTTTTGTTCTATTTAAAAAAAACAAAAACAACACAAAATTTGAGGAAGCTACAGTTAAGGATTCATATCAATTCCATATAATGACAGTAGCTTAATACAGTGAGACAGAGTAATGCTGTCCTGCCAAAAAAGAATTTATAGGTAGTTTAAAAAATGGCTTTTTAGAGAAGAGGGTGTAGGAACTGATGGCTGATATGGGATAGATAAGAGGTTTGATGAGCTGAATTTTTCATCTCCTAGTTGTTGGAGTGTTGTTGGTAGGCCTGAAATTTAACCAAATTCAGAAGGCAGTAATCCGTGACTGCCTTGAATCAGAAGACTTGCAAAACCCTTTTCTATTTTAACGCAGAGATTCTTAACCGTTTTTGTGTCATGGGCCCTCCAAAGCTGCTAGGCTCCTAAAAAGGTTTAATTTAAAAATCATAATGGAAGAAATGCTAACTTTTAGTTAGAGGTTAGTGCAAACAAAGATGCAAATTTCTCCCTCCATCCTGAAGTCTACTTACAGACCTCGGTTAAGAACTCTTGCAGTGATACACTACCCAACTACCTTTGTGGCAAGCCAGAATATTTGGCAACTTGGATCAAGGTATTATTGCCTTTGTGTAGGAGCTTAGCAGGAGGCTCAGACTTCATTACAGGGTCTAAATGCTGCTACTGTCTCCTTCTTTTCATCTGACTTAAGTTTTTTTTTTAAATTCTTCTCCCCAAATAATGGGAATGAGGCTTAAACTACTGATGTACCTAATAAAGATGCTGTGAGGATAAGTGAAATTTGTTTAGTTATTTTTAAGCACTTTGAGATTTTTCAGATTATGTTGATGTCAAAAATAGTACTACCCCACATACCCCAATAGTTAGACTTCTAGCAATTGCAACAAATGAGACACAGCCATGACTCTAAAAGGCTTTCAAATAGAAAAAAAAAATCTAGCATTTGAAATATCCCTTGTAAAGACCTGGAAGCCCTTTGAGGACAGGGACTGTGCCTACTTATTTATCTCTGCCGTTTTAGCACATAGCACAGTGCCTTGTTAACAATAGGTGCTTAATAAATTAGTGTGTTTTTAAATGAATGAATGATCGAAAATACCCATGCACTTTATTCCATATAAGAAGCCCTTACCTAGAGCCTATGGACTCAAACCATTTTCCTTACTTTACCAAGAATCTTGATTGTATGAATTTTTTTTGGGGGGGGGCTGTTAAAAAAAAAAAAAGCAGGCACAATGATAGCGATAAGCCTTTTGAAAATGTGTAACCTGATAGACAATAAGGGAGAATATGCAAGGTAAATGCTGCATAACCATTAGGGACCACATAGTATAAAGCATCTTCTACTCAGCTCTAGCCCCACCCCAGGCATCATGGTATTACCTCTCAGTAGAGTGATTGATCATATAGATCACATACTTGTTAAGAATATCGTATTGTAACTGTTAAAATGTAGGGATATTTCTAATACATGGTAGGAATACTTCCAGAAAATGTTTTAAAATAAAACTTGGCACTTAATAGCATTTCTGATACCCACTTAGGGCATACCCCACTTAACTACTAGTTCTGGGTCAGTGAGGCATTACTGTACTCTGTATTTTCTTTTACTTTTAAACAGGCAATCTGGATAATTTTTAATCATTATCTAGAGATATAATTAATTAGCATGTTTCAAAAATAAGTTGTTCTGTTGTAAATACTGGCCTGGGTTGAGGATTTGGTAGTAATGCCTCAGGAAAATAGGTCCATGTATTTTAGTGGTAGGAAGATTAAATTTTTCCAGTAATGTGGAAATCAAAATTTGTTTGACTTCTCATGATACAGGGAAACACAGCATCTCCTGGGTTACTTGTGATGAGGCTTTTAAAATTAAAATTATCTGTATTTGACATAGTGCCTTCAAGTAGTCAGTCCTGACTTTTCTGGGTCTTTTAACTGTAGTAGTATAAATACTAATTCTTGCAGTTTTCTTTTATAGTTTAATATAACTAGGAAGAATAAATCAATGTGTACACAAGCTCACTGTATAGCCAACTTTTTATTAGACTGAAAGAATCCATAATGTGATATGTTTGTTTTTTAGCTTAAAATTATATTTATTTTAGTGTTCATGTGTGTATGGGGAGGGGGAGTTTTTTATTTTTTTATTTTTGGCAACCTTACAGAATTTTATGTATTCACTTACTGAAGCATAATCTGTAAGGCTTTTTTATTTTTTGTTCCTTTAAGGCTTTTTTATTTTTTGCTTTTATGTTTGCCTAGTATAACTTTATGATGCGATGTTTGCTAAAATCTTTGTGTGAAAAGAACATTTTTTTATTCTCTATGGTGGGAGCTACAAGTGCATTGAAAGCCCAGGATTTATCCTTTTTTTTTTGTATATAAAATATATGTATATATACACACACACACACAAAGCACAACATAAATGATGTATTTCCAGTATTGCCCCAATTTCAACTCTAAACCCCACCAAAAACATTTCCATTTTGTTACATATAAAGATGGAGAACCTGATATTGGAAATTCCAAATAGTAGGTTATCTACTCATTTCATCAGAGATCCTAGATTATTATAAATTCTGTATGTTATTCTGTGTCTGTTTGTGTGTCATAGAGGGAACAGGGGAAGCCCAACTGTTAAGAATATACAGTTAACAAAACTTACTGCCAATATATTCACTGTCAGTGTAGGAAATGGGGTCTGGTGATTTGTAGCTTACTTGGCCTTTTTTTCCCCACAGCCTTCTAGGGTAGGGGACTAAAATTGGAACTCCTTATTTCTGGACTGGTGGTGTATTAACATTCTTCTTTAGGCTGCCAAGTCTGTCTTAATTGTAAAGTTACTTTGTAAAACATTGCCATTTACAAGCAATTCCATAAATAAGTCTTAGTTTTTTAAAAAAAATGATTCACATTTTAATAGTGTGAATGCTTTATATAGTTAATTCCTACATGCACTTCTATTTGAGAGATCTGGGTTACTTTTTTTTTTCTTCTTCATGGGGGACCTCAACTAACCTGAATCAAATCTAGATAATGAACAGCAGATTTGAAACTTAAATGATTGTCACCTTGCCTTTTATCTTCTCAGAGTAGCTGCATTGTACCATCTTATTTATACAGATGCGTTCTTCCCAACCTATTGTCTTGACCTATGATGCAGTGGTATTAATAGCTAAAAGAATTAGTGTTCTTCTATTTGTGATTATTTCCTCTTCAAACCAGTATCCATTCAGAATTGTGTAGGGGGAATGAATTTATGTGAGAGATATATAGATATATATAATATATATACGTATATATATTATATATATTATATATATATATATATATATATACGTATACATATACGTGTGTGTGTGTGTATATTTTTTCCCATGGGGGAGGAGTTGTGGAGAATTCTTAATACTTCTGCCTAAGGACTACTGATATTAGGGACCCAAATAAATTTTACATTTTTGAACTGTTTCCTTTAAGACTTGGGGAAGGATAGAGCACCACAGAATAGAAAAACTGGAAGGTGTGATCTTAAAAGCTGGGTATTATTTTAGTAAAGGAGTGAATCCTTAAGGACAGAAGTATCAAAGAAGTGATTGTTCTCAGAATTTTAAGTAAGGAAAGGGCTTGACTTTGGCAGTGTATGGTAGAGCAAAAAAATAATTACAGGTAATACAGTATGCGTGCTGTACCCTTTATTGTTGTTTTGAAGTTAAAATGGTTATATGTGATAATTTAAAGAAATGTTTTGAATATTCTTTTAAAATGTGAGCACTCTACAGTTTTAATTATGGACATATGCTACATTTTTGGTGGTGTGTGTGTCTTCTCTTACACCATTTTAGTTTCTTAGTCAACAAAAGTTAGGAAAAGGGCAGAGGAAAGCATTCTCACTTTTGGAATCCCTACTGTTTAGACCAGTACTGACTATCATATATGGCAATTCTATATTAATGTGCTCTGCGTCTCAATACTTTTATTTTTTAATAAGGTGGATATCAAAAATAGTTGCTGTGCAAAATGTTAGTAGTCTTCTTCAAGAAGAAATAAATTCTTTTTCTAATATCCTGTGAAATCTCTTCATTCATTCCTTTACTTTTAAGCCAAATGTCAGCAGAGTACTGCTGCTTTTATCTAGTAACTTTGATATGTAAGTATTAATGCATTTTTAAAAGATGTCTGTAATAAATGACTTGTTCTTCATCTTGGCCCACTCCACTATCTTGTGCAGCTTTTTCTATGAGAGACCATTTAATACACTGGGGCCGTGTATTTATGTATATGTATTGTTTTAATTTGTTGGCCATGTGCACCGAAGACCAAAAATTATTGTAAATGAACTTGTGGGAAAGTTAATTTTATGTTTTTATTGTTGTTCAATTTTCCTTTCATTGATTCTTCCTTCCCCCCAATTCTTGAAAAATAAAGTGGGCTTATTTGGTTTCAGCTCATTGTACAATTTAGTTTAATGCCCAGTAGAATTTTGTAAAGCAGGTTAATTCCAATATTGAAAGGGGTTTAGTGAAAGAATAGATTTAAAATTAACTAGTCATGACTAATCTAATTTCACTATCCTAACCTAATGTATATTAAATATGATTTTAAAAGTTATAGACATATTGTGTGATACCAGTTTGATGTGTTTTCACAAGTGTTATAAAAATTAAAATTAATCTGCTCAAGAAATGGCAGTTTCCATTACTGACTTGATGTAAAATATGAAAATATGATGGGGTTTTTTTTTGTGTACTTTGTGTGTGTGATTTTGCCAGCTACATTAGCCTTCAAAAGTATTTGGATACCTTAAGCCACATTTGTTGCAGAGAACATTCCTTTCTGTGGTATTTTGTCCTGTACCTGATGTATAGTAATTATTTTACAGACACGTTAGCACTTCTGTACCAACTTTGAATAAAAATGAAAAATTTAGATACTTTGTTGTGATTGAGTTTTTTCAGTCTTTCAGTCATTTCTTTGGCCTGTGTTCCTTTGCCTATCCCTATTGCTTGCTTTTAAAATTTGCCTAGTTTTTTAAAAATAATTTTTATTCTGATCTTGACAAATACCAACAACTGAGCATTTCCACATACAAAGAACTGAAAACAAAGATTGTACATGAAACTTCAGATCTCCATTATGTATTACTTTAAAAAAAAGTATGTAATCTAGCATGTTATTTCCCAAGCTGCCTTGCTTTTTTGTTTCCCTCTGAATCTCTGTATACCTTTCAAAGTGCTTCATTGATTTCCCCCCCTTTTTTTTCCTGCTTATTATGACCCTTCCTCTTAACTATTTTTCTCCACCCCTCAGAAATAGATAGTGGTAGACATTTTCAGGTGTTCCTGCTGTCATACTGTTCATTTGAAACTTAAGGCATTTACGCAGCTACCAATGAGGGTAGTCAAGGTCTGGGTGTTAACGCACTTTGAGGGGAAATTGAATCCTCTGTTGTATGTACCTCAGTGTGTGCCTTTATTTCATTGCTCTGGAACTGAATCCATGTGATAATAGGAGTGAGTTAAATGTGTGTAGTAGGCCTCAGACACTTGACACTTCCTAGCTGTGTGACCCTGGGCAAGTCACTTAACCCTGATTGCCTCACCAAAAAACAAGAAAAGAAAAAATATGTATAATAGAAATAATAATTCTCATTAATCTTAATTTAAAAAACAAACACTGGTCTTGTGATCAGGAGAATGGGATTCTCCACAGTCTTGTAATCTGGGCCTGTAGTGACTGGGTACATCACCTAGGCCAGTGGACATCTCTGTTTTCTACCTTCACAACCTATTTCATGTAGTGACCTTCTGTCCACTCACAGCTTCCCCCCTGGTGCGGGCCTGCATCACCTCATGCCTGGACTATTGCAATAACAGTCTTGTGGTTGGTCTTCCTGTTTTAGATCTCTTCCCTACTCCATGTTTCATTAAGCTGTCAGAGTGCAAGTCTGACCACATCCTTCTCCTCTAGTCCCCCCCCCCTTCAATCAATAGGGGCTTTCTGTTAATTCAAATATAATCTCTTCTGTCATTGAAAGCCCTTCAAAATCTGGCCCTTTTTAGTCTTTCCAATCCTCTTACATTTTACTCCCCTCAATAGTGTACTGTCCAGTGATACTGACCTTGTTCATTACTGTACTCCATCTCCCCATCTTCTGGCTCAGTTCAAAGCCCATTTTTTGCCAGAGCGCTTTCCTGGCTCCTCCCACCGCTACTGTTTTCCTTCTGAGACATGCATAGATTGCATGTATTTTGTATGTGCAGTTTTTTTGCATGTTGTCTCCCCCATTGGAATGTGTGCTCATAGAGGGCAGGTGCTGTTTCTGTCTGTCTGTGTCCCTACTACCTGTGCATAGCGCCTGGCAATCACTGAAATAAAGGGTTATCAGCCAGCTCTTTGAAACGTGACTTAGGATACTGAAATAATGATTTCTTGGCCAGGGGAGGTATATATATCTAAAGTGGACTAGAATCAGTATGTTAGCTGTAGATTGTCAGCTCTACTCTAAGAGGGAGAGGGGGAGGGAAAGAGGTACCTGCAGCTGCTGACCTCATGAAGCCTCTGCTGATAGAGAGAAGTAGGTATGATCCAGGAAGACCAGCCCTGGAGGTGCTCTGTAATTCACCAGAAACAATGATAGATGAAAGGGATGGAAAACATACTCAGGCTTTGATGTCTATACACTAATATGGGTAATAATTAGCAAAAAGAGCCCAGAGATCTTATTATCTAGAGACATTGTGACTTCTTTGGTATTCATGAGAGTTAGTGGGATGTAACTCAGAACAAGCAAAGTGATGAAAAGGAACAGTGTGTCCAGAAAGTACAGGTGAGATGAGAGGGGAGGAGTGCACAGTAGCATAAAAACCCACCTGTGTAGAAGTCTACAAGAATGAGGTGGTTAAGGGGCAGACAACTGTGGAGAACATTTGGGTGTAGATCAAAGGAGGCAATGATCCGAGATGATGAGTATGTGAAAGGGGTATAGATGTGATGGCAGGCTTGAACACTTCAGACTTCTGCAAGGTGTCTTCTACTAAAAGCAGAGAAGCAAAAAAAGTTTAAAATTTTCTCACAGAGAATGTCATCTTTCAGAAGAAAGGAAGTGATAAGATTCCAGGCAATAAATAAGGAAGGCATCTGCTTGGTGAAGAGGAAATAAACATTGAGAGGAGTGACCATGACAATTTGGGATTGGATATATAAAGAGAAAACCAGATATAAAGTAACATTTAGGATTGGGATGTCCTTGAGAGTCAAGGTCTGGTGATTGCATTAATCCATATGATTAGGGGGTGGGGAAAGGAGATTGTAATCTCTAGACTGAGACTCACTTGAGTTTGGGGAAACTGACCACTCCTACTATAGTGCTGATACTTCCCTCCAAGTGACCTCAAAGAATTTTGACAGGGAAGGGACCTCGTTGACCATTAGATGCATCCCATACATGAAAAATAATACCCTTTTTACCACATACATGGTAAGTGGTTAGCTGAAGTTTGCTTAGCATAGTAGCTGGTACATAGTGCTTAATAAATGTGTTATCTAGTCACAACTCCTATACTTCGACCTTGGTGAGGGGCATCTCATTTCTGCCCCAGGAACCCTGATCAACTTTTGACCAGTTCTCATTAGGAAGTTTTACTTTTATATATACTTTTTGTGTTTTGGAGGGGGGGGTTGGAATTCTCTGCTGTTATAATTTCCATACACTGTTCTTCATCTCTTCTCCTGGGCATCTCACAATGTAAGCTGCTTGACTGTGGTTTTGTCTTTCTATCTCTAGAGCCCCAAACAGTGCCAGGCAAAAAGCTATGGAGTGTTATGCATGAGGAACATCCAGAAAATTAGTGTTGCTAGATGGCAAGAGTTCTCTGGGGAGTAAAATATAAGAGAACTGAAAAGGAAGGAAGGGTTCTGAAGGGCTTTTAACCCAAAGAGAGGATTTTATATTTAATCTTGAAAGTAATAGGAAGCCATTGGACCTGTGCTTTTAAAAGGGTCACTTTGGCAACTAAGTAGAGGATAGAATAGAGTGGACAGAGACTTTGAGGCCAGGAGAGATGAGTTCAATTTTGGAAACGTTGAGTTTAAGGATTGAATTCAAGATGTTCAATAGTCAGTTGGAAATGGACACTGGCAGAGTTAGGGCTAGATAAGTAGATCTGAGAATCATCTGCACAGAGATGATAATTGAATCCATGAGAGCTGATTTCAGTAGGTGAAATAGTATAGAGAGAGTAGATTTGTATGCTTTGCTTTTTGTAGTAGCTGAAAATGATTTTAGATGTACTTCTTTCCTATTTCCTGGAGCTCCCTTCAGATTTTCATAATTGTAGTTTTTTTTTTTTTTACCAGCCTGCAAGTAGAACAGTGAGAGAGCTCTGACAGCTGAGCTTTTCTGACAGATCTGAGTGTATTCCTTGGAAGTTTGAGACTGAGGGGAAAACTTACAGGGCTGCTCCTTATCCTGGACCACCTTCATTGTATTCTGAAGCCTGCATCTCAGGCATACATAAGGAAATTTCTATAAACTGAATTGAAGGAAAAATTGAATGGCTAATTAAAATTATTTTATTAGCAGTGGCTTTCAGTGAGTGGAGGCTGATTGGGATACAATAGAGCATCAGGGAAAATTAATCTCAAGATAGGTGGAGGGATTTGAAGTGAATGAAATCTAATTTTTGCCTTTATCTAGGCCAGTCTAGGTAGAGGTTTTCCAGATTGAAGTTAGCTTTGTGTCATTTGGAAGCCTGTAGTTTACTTTACTCCTTGCCATTGTTATTATTTAATAGACAGCTGAAGTTAAATTACACTGTTTAGTTGGACTTTCAGTTTCTAAAGAGCAGCAGTGGTTAGCTAAAAGTGCATTTCATCAATGCTGAGTCTGAAATGTTGCTATATCTGTATTTGTTTTCTTATTTTTAATATTGGGAACCTGATAGCTGTCTTCAGATTCAAAAAGACCTACATTCATAGGTAATTCATATAACATCTCAGTGTCCCACATCAACTCTCTGAGACTGATATACAAACTGCCTCAAGACTGAAAATATATTATCTTCCATCTAGAATGTAATCTCCTTGAAAGCAGGGACTTGCTTTCTGTTTGCATACACTGTGTTTAGACTGCATAGTGACACTAAATAAGTGCTTCTTTATATTCTCTGGAAACCTTTTCAGCATCTCAATGCAGATGGCTCGTATCTGTGGATCAAAGTCTCCCTTCTGAGCTTCAGTCCACTTGACCAACCTCCCATTTGACTTTTCACGCTAGATGTTCTATAGACATCTTACTCAAACTCAACATGTCTAAAACAAAACTACTTCTAAATGACTCTTTCTGTCAAAGGCACCACCATTCCAATAGCCCACATTGGTTACCCCACATATCCAGTTGTCCTTGCCAGTTCAACCCCACTACAGTTCATGCCCAGTTCTTCTCTAGTCACACAGACACTAACTTTTGGGGGTCCTCTTCCTTGCTTAGATTATTACAGCTATTTTCTAACTGGTTCCCCTTTTCCAAGTCTCTGTATCTCCCCATTCATCCACCCAACTGCTATAGTGATTTTCCTAAAGTGTAGATCTGACAGTTTTATTCCCCTCCTCAGGAAATATCACTGGCTGGCTCCCTTGTGCTTCCAGGGTCAAATATGAACTCTGTTTAGCCCTGTCTTTTAAGTTTCATGATACATTACTACTCATACTCCCCAGCTAGGGTGGTGCAGTGGATGGAGCTCTTAGCCTGGAGTCAGGAAGACCTGAGTTCAAATTCAGCTTTCAGACACAAGGTGTGTGACCCTGGGCAAGTCATTTAACCTCTATCTCAGTTTTCTTGTCTGTAAGATAGGGATTATAATACTAGCACCTACCTCTCATGGTGGTTGTGAGGATCAAATGAGATAATATTTGTAAAGTACTCAACC